TATGGGTTACCCCATATCCAAAGATATTCGACTTTTAGATTTAATATGTTTAACAGTGTTTATAATGACTTTAATTAAAAAAAAAAACTGCAGTCTAATTATGGAATTGGTGTAAATTTCGTGAGTCCGTAGCATTACGGTCACCCAGTCTCCTAACAAACAGTACACATACCTGTGTCCGCAAGACCAACATTAGCCTAGGTCTACACACGTGCGATGGAGTTGCCAAACGCATCCAGCGAGCTCGGAGAAACACGTTTTGTTAAATGCCGAGAAGTTACGATGGCAGACAAAACTTTTCTTTTCTTAATTAGGTCAAATGAATACGAATTCTGATTAATAAAAATTATACAATCCCTGTTGACATGGTTGAACTATAGTTTGTTCTATCATTTGCATCTGCAACAACTTGTGTTTAACATGTTTAAAATGGCCGGGTTAGGAAAATCAGGACCGGGTCGGAAAATTCTAAACTGAAAACCTTTTTTTGTTTTGAAAATTACTGAAATATACTAATGTAATCGTCGCAGAAATTACTTACATAATTCAAGTTCTATATGAAATGGTATGCTGAACTTCAACACGAACCCGAATCTCCGACCCAGTTCTCGTTTTGCTACACATTTTATACCCTACAGTTTACCAAGTGTATACACAAGAGTAGAATCCGGCCAGGGATTGAAAATTCCGTAAAACACACACACAGAATGATTAATTTTTTCTTTAAGAAGAAATTGTATGATAATTAACGGAATATAAACATGTACTTAATACAATTGTTGATATAGTATTATCAATTCATCGTTGATAAAAAGATATGAATCGAAGAATGACCTAAATATTCTCTGTTATCAAACATGAAAAAAAGGCTGAGGAGGGAGCGAGCGTAGGAATATTGATATTTTTTATTTGCATTTCGGGGGGAAAGTGATTTTCTAATAATATTTTGACGTTGTTTTTGATTTCTTTAACGTATGACATACACAACTTCACTCTTATCATGAACAATAATGTTGTATCTACTTAATCATGAAGGAACTATTTTGGTCGGACCATTTTGTGTGAGCCGCCGCTGAATACAGTAATATATCTTGCATTAATAGTATGCATTGATCGAATATATTAAAAAGAACAAAGAAACAAATTAATGAACTTAAAAAGTCGTCACTCTTTTTTTAAGACCCTTTAATTTTCCCTTTTATTTTATCAAAACCTTAATTATTTAAAACATCAATATCTCAGGTCCTACAGTGAATTTATCATAAAAAAGTTAACAAACCAGGATCTGTTATTTATCATACCGATCATTTGAAGGAATATTGATCAATCTTTACCTTTTTTTCAAAGTGCGTTAATATGGTCGATATTTACGCACTTTGAAAAAAAAATTTTTTCAAAGTGCGTTAGCTCGGTCCCAAATTTTAATGCACTTTGAAAATTTTTTTTCAAAAAGCGTAATTTTTCAGAGTGCATTGGAACAAACGTGTCATGCAAATGTACTACACTTAAAAACAATTGTTTTTTTATCCTATTTTATGAATGATGTTGCCATGGTTACTAAAATGAAAATTCCTGTAATTTTCTCTTGAAAGGTTACTCTTCCTACAGTTTAAGTCTGGTTGCAATATATCTTGCAACAAAAAGAGACTAGAACAAGGATCCTTATTCTATTTATTGCTGTTACAAAGTTTCAAGGCCAAGTGCTACTTTCCTTTCTCTTCCTTTGTTACAATTACAAACCAGAAAAGTTACTGTCTCATCAGAGACCTTTGCTTTATAATGTTAAAATAATCGAATTCGTTTTATACAGACACTTTGTGTGAATGAATAAGTGTCTATGGAATTATATTAATAGTATAATACTTAATAATACATAAATAGGTTATAATTTTTTTTCCTTTTTGAAGAAGTATGCATAATTTTTTATTTTGCTTATTAGCATACAGAGTACATCGATTTGTGGTATATATAAAGCAAAATCAGCTATCACATATACAGTATACAGATGAGATATCAAACAGAGTGTTAAGTCTACGGCTGTTAAATGAAATAACATATTTTTAAAGAAAATTATGACAATAGTATACATGTATACTTGTTTGTATAAAAGATATGAGTCTTATATTTAATCTTTTAACATTTTTAGAAGTGAACAAGCCTGTTTGGAATTAAAGAATATCATATTTGATAAAGAATTGGAGAGGACTGTCTTCAAAATCAAACTTGATGAAGATGAGCGTAGTACAGAAAATGCCAGGAAAATGTTTGAGGACCTGAAAAAGTAAACTGGTGGTTCTACATATATTTTGTTTGATGCCAATGCATCGGAGTATAAAAATGGTTGTACTTAAACATGTATATTGAAAAACAAATCTTTATGTGGTTTCAGAATTAGCCCCATTATTATTTGCAGGGTATGGAAAATTATTGATGAAGAGAGAAATGTTATTTTTACGACAATACTGGGTAAAGAAATCGTGGAACCTTCACTAAAAGATGCCTTGCAAAGACTTCAGGTGTTCAAAAGGTAGCAAAATAGTTGTTGTCCATTTTCAATACATGTATATTAAAACAATTAAGTATACATGTATACTTGTATTTATGATCTATCATAAAATTATCTGAAGAAACCAGAATGAGCTGCAAGATTTGTTAAAGGCTGTATCCGATACAGATGACCCCGTCACTTCAAAACAAGCCATAGAGAAAGTACAAGCGCTAAAAAGGTAAGTTTAAAGTCAAAACATACTAGTATTACAGACATACTTACTATAAAATACAAAATGTAGACCAGTTTTTAATGTAATTGCAAGTAATATCATGATTTTAGTACTGAGAAGGCTCAATATGAGACCATTCAGAAACAAAGTGAAAATCTTAGAAGACTTGAGACGGAAATTTCTCAAATGGAAAAAAGATATGGTAGCATGAAAAGAGACAAAGAAGATGTGGAACAGAGGTTGACCAATGAAGTAATAAGAATACAGGCTGAGAAAAATAATGCTCTGACACGGTATGGATGAATAGTAAACTCTCAATTTAATTTTTTTTCTGATTTAATTTCTTGTAAATTGATTTACCAATAAGCTTTCTATATTGAGCTGCCTCCGTAATTTCCAAAATCAAACTTTCTGAATTAGAAATTCACATTTTTAAAATAACGTACCTTATTTATTTAAAAATTGGATTTTAATAAGGGTTGAACTTTAATTTGATGGAGTGAATGAAAGAAAGTAGCTTTGTATAATCCAGTTCAAAATTAAGTTAATTCTTTAACATATAGATTAAGCGAAGTAGCTGGAGCAAAGCTGACCAATGAAAACCCAAACATCACAGATCTGAGTGACCCTAACCGACCAATCAAAATCGCAGAGCAGTACAGCGAACTTTATGATAATGCATGGACAGACATTTTTGAAAAGTTAACAGAGAAATATAAAGTGTCAGAAAAAGAGGCTATACAGATGTTGCTCCATATTTTAGAGGTATTTTATATAAATGTTCATTCTACCTTTATATATGTACTGTAGTTTTACTTGTTGGAAAAATCATGAAAAGTGTCGCAAGAGGTTTCTTCTGATACTTAAACCAATGTGTTTCTCCGCAGATAAAAAATGTTGAGAAATGGATTTGCAATGATTGATAAAGCTAGCAAATATTAACCAAACTCAAACAACCATTCGACAATTTAGATTAGAATATGTATCTCTAAAAACACTAGAAGTGGGATCGTATGCATGGACTAATATTCATCCCCTGTCGACCAGTCTTAAACAATGTTTGCTTCTACACGTGATCTAGCAATTAATCCGTACACAATTCATTCTGAACATAATAGCCTAACAATTTGCTTGAATTTACCAATCAGTATACGATTTAATGAGAAATTGCATTTGCTAACAAGGCCATTGCATCCACCTTAAAATCTTGACATTACACAAGTCTTACGATAGCCTTGTGTCATTGACTTATTTGTCAATTGCTTGTCTGGTAGGAATATGTGGATAGAATTTGTTAAACGTCTTCCATTTTCATATGTATTTGATATACATTGTTATAATGAATGTAATTTTTTTTATTAAGTGTTAGCTAAAATTAAAGTCAACTATCACTAGTAATTTAAAAAAGAACAATGTTTCTATGTTTACATAATTGCCAAATCCTAGAACACAGTTCAAGCATCACCTCCCAAGTTAAACTCTTGATTTCATTGCAAAAGTAACTAAATGTAGGATTTTTATTTTATTCTTTGGTATATATTAGAAATGTTAAAAAGCCATAATTATATACTTGTCAAAGAACCATCTGCGCGGTTACTGAATGATTAAAGAGCGCAAGGCGATCGCTTTTCATTTTTTCATTGCAACTCTTTATAAGATATCTTGGATTTTTTTTAAATAAGAAAAGCTCTTCTTCAAAAAATTTGCTTTACAGAAAAATCTTAATATTCTAGAAGATATTTTAAATGAGATTCTAAAAGAGATTTTATGGAAGTGTCAAGCAAAGAGATTTTATGGAAGTGTCAAGCATTTAAAAATTGCACATAATGATTTAAGAACACGTTTTGTTTGTCTTAAGCACAGGTAAGATTTATAAATCGTTACACTTTTAAAGAACATATTCCACAAACTCTTTATTTCAGATTTCATACCGATTTTGTGCAGAAATAGCAAGTACCAGGTACAGAAACATGCTTGCAGAATTAACACTTTTAAGACTGGCTGTACCTGATGAAAATAAACCAAACGTAAGTGATCAACGGTGTATTTTATTCATGAATGATCATTTCATTTCAAGTCTTATTATTGTTTTTTTTTAATTTTAAAGAAAAAGGGTGGACCAAAAGAAGAAACGACGAAAGGGAAAAAACAGGAGATCGCACAAACACTGTCCTCAGAAGAAATTATTGTGATGCAGAAGTTCTTTGATAACCCAAAACAAGCTGTGGATAATAAAACTCTAAAATCAGTAAACTCTTTTAAAGCTGCTAAATTTTTTACTCTTATTATTATATACAAAATATTGTGCAAAGAACGTGTATTTTTCTGTTTAATGGACAAAATGATAAAAGTGTCTTTTTAAACAATGTTTAAAAGTGATTTGTTTTACTTTTTGTTTTCATTTAATGTGTAAATTATCGAATTCTTGTCTTAAAACTTTTTGATTTAACATTTTAAATTAACATATTCAGGTTCTTGAAAAAATCGGTGTGAGTGAAACTGACATGAAAAATATGAAGAATTTGCTGAAAATAACAGTAGACGGAACATGTCATTTTGTAGAACAGGTATTATTCGATATTTTAAAAAATTACATAACTGAGGATTGACCAGATTTAATTTTATTTTCAGAAAATGTGTGTTATATTTGGCAAAATTATGTTTCATTAAAGCATGTGTGGGGAAAACGGTCCGAAATTCCAGCACAGGCTGATGCTCATCTGGAGATTGCAAAACCTTACTTGAAGAAGTGTGTGCAGATCTGTTGGTTAATGGTCGCTCAAGATCCACCGGTATATCTGAAAACATCAGCTAAAAAAGACAATAAATTCGATAAAGAAATTTACCGTGAGTTCACTAGCAGTGGAACGAAGATGGACTACGTGGTCTGGCCTGCAATTCTTCTACACGAAGGTGGACCTTTACTGAAAAAGGGTGTAGCACAGCCTAAGTCCTAATGTTGCAGAATTTTCTTCGAAAACTCTCATACTCGGCCACAAAAGCCATGAATTCATCAACCGTATCACCTGCACTTTCGAAGTTCTTGTACTGTTATTATCAGATACTTCTAACAGATACAAATAATTTTTCATTCTACATTGGAAATAAATTTAAATTAAATAGAGTAGATTTGAAGCGAAGGTCACCGGATTCTCGCTTGGTTATCAAGTCATTTAACGATGGAGTATGCTTTTAAAAAATGGGACTCTCCATTTTATTGAAGTCGTGTTTGAGTTGCTGACTTCAGCTCATTAACATATATTAAGGAACAGTGGTAAACACCATATGCGTTAAATGAAGCTCTAAAGTTGTAAAAAAAAAAAACCCACTCATTTAAGATTTTGACATTCGGAGGACAAGATCTCAATAAAAATGGTTTGTTAATGCACTGATAAATGTTGTAATTGTGATGCTGGATGTAATGGGAGCTCGTAATCATATGCTGATATAAATATGGATCCATAAATAAATTTAAAGTGTTTTTTTTTCAAATATAAGTTCACATTTAATTTGAATTAAGGACAATGCAGAAATAAATGATTTAAAAAAAATTGCTTTTAGAAACACTTTTGCTTTGTGTGTTTTGTAACAAAAAATGGTCGAATAAATGAATCATGGATGCTTAATGAAAAATTTCAAACTCAGAACTGTCTTTGACTCTGAGTTGACGTAAATGTTTAGAAAAATAAAATTTACGGTTAAAAAAAAAGTAGATGATATATATTTTAATTGATTTTAATCAACCGGGGACTAAAGAGAATAATTTCTTAAATGGGGCAAACTGTTGATGAAAGAGTTGAGGAAACGTGTATATCAACAGTCTCATTACAATGACATTCAGCAAATACGAGGGTTGTCCCAGAAAAACGCAAACTTATTGAATATTTCAAAAACTATTCAACTAAAAATGATAATGGCACGCTGTTGGGAAATCATTTTTTATACATTCTGACAAAATATTATTGGCCTTTGGTGTCATATGCGTATAAAACAGCATTTGAATGATGTTAAATATCGGTGGTCGGTGTTCGACAATTTTTTGACTTTTACAAATATCATTGTGATTGAAGTTTTTGTTGTTA